CACTCCTGGCCGCAGCGCTCGAAGGGTGCCCCTCCCGCTGTTGCCTACTCCAGGCTGCAGCCGCTGCGTTCGCATCGTCTCCATCCCGGCCGCCAGTGGAGTAGCGGCCCAGAGCCTGCCAGCCTGGCGAGCTAACGGTCCCAACCACCCAAGTCAGCGAGCGCCTGGGGACTGAGGGCGGTGCCGGGGCCGAACCGTCAGTCAAGTGGGGGCGGGGACGAGCCAGATCCCATGCCAATCACCAGTGAGAGGGCGGGAGCTGGAGTGCTCCCGCTCCGCCATAGGTAAATTGTTGAGGAGGGTGGAGGTTCTGAGAACCAATTGCAAAGAGAAAAAGCGATATTTTCTGTAATGCCGACGCATAGCATGGGCGCGTCTTTGGAGTCCTGTGGCGAGCACCGGAAAGCGGGCCAGAACCCTGGGGCGGGGCTTGGAGAAAAAACGGGCCAGGATGTAAGGCTGGGGAGAACTGTAAACAGAGTGAAGGGATTCGGAGAGACCATTTGTCGGACCACGTCATTTTATAGATGTAGGTGAGGACACTGTGGCTCAGAGAAATGTAACTTGTCCAATATCGCATGCAATTGGTGGTGGAGCTAAAGCAAGAAAGCTGCATTATAATGAGCACATACTATGCAATGTACTTTAGTGCATTGTCTTATTTAGTAATCACGATCACTAACTAGATTTTATTATGTTATAGATAAGGAAAATGATGCTCAGGGAGGCTAGACAAATTGCCCAAAGTTAAATAGCTGGGAGATGGCAAAGGGGAGTTCAGACATATGTGTTCTGATTTCCAGTATTTTTTTTTTCTTTTTACTGTACTGCATTGTGGGGTAAATTTCTAATATCACCTATTCTAAGTCGGGGGAGGTAGTAAGAGAGAGTAGAATGGGCAAGGCTATTTATCTCCCATTAGAGAAAGATAATATATACAGAAAATCAGCAAATTGAGAAGTCCAGGGAGGCAGATTTGGAAAGGTAACCTTATTCCTCTTATTAGAGTGAGAAAGAGTTAGAATATAAGCAGAAAATCAGCAAACTGAGAAATCCAGGGGGCAAATTAAGAAAGGTACCCTTGTTCATGGAACCAATCAATCTGGGTTGTTCTGATTACTTTGTGCACACGTGGACACACGACACACCCTTTGTCAGTTGACTATTGTGCCATTTTTACTTAAGTGAGGTTATATTCACTGCCATCCCCTCATCTCTCCTACAGTGGCTCAGGAATCAAGGATGGGGAAATAGAGACCAGAAGTAAAAGAAAATGGATGAAACACACCTTGTGAAATGAAAATTAGACCCTGAGTGGAAACTGAGTGATTAAGAAATAGGAAGCTTTGAAAGAGGGACTGTTAATCCACTAGGATACATCTGCTGATGATGGAGGGAGGGACTTTCTGTAGGAATCTTAAAGAATTCAAGGATGGACATGGGGAGACGAGGAAATGAAAGCCTGTCAAATGCCTTAAAACCTCAGGACACAGGACGCTTGTCTTTTCTTCTACAACCACGGTTGTTCACTTGGTCCTTTGGAAAGAAAGTGACTGGAATCTCTAGGTATCTCATGGATCATTATAGCTATAAGTTATTATTACCTCCCACCGCATTCCTCATTCCCCACACCCACACCTCCAGGCAGAAGTGACAAAACAGAGACTTCTGAACACATTTATTTGATATGTCAAGTGGAGAGAGGAGTGATTTAGGGTTTCTCCCCACTTCTACCTGTGGGGGTGTTCATAAGCTCAGACAGACAGAAGAGCAGCTTAGAGCCCATGGCCCACCCCTGGGAAAATGAGACCACCTGTTGTAATGGTTGGGGGAACAGGATTGGGAATAAAAAGCAGGAAGTCAAGAAGTGAAGTTGAGAGCAGGAAGGGTAGCAGCAGAACTGAGGCTGGGAGTTGCTGCAGGAATCCCCAAGAAGAGTGAAGAAGATATCTTGAAAAGTGATTGGGGCTGGAAGCAGGGTGTGAACAAGGAGCCAGGCCTGGAGAGAGAAGGAAGACCTGCAGAATGGAGTGGGATATTCATGAAGAGGGTCGAGTGTGCAAAATCATGATATAGGTTGTGTTGCAGGGCATACATGGAAAGCAAGGTATTACTTCTGCAGGAGGGCAAAGATATCTGAGACTACCCTTAAGTAGGGATTCCCTACTACTTCTGAACAAATGCAAGTGAGTTTGGGACCCTAGCACAAGTGGCGCTTTGTGTTTATTGGTATGTCGTGCCTGTGGGTACACAAATAATCCCACATGCATGTGAAATGACCAGGGCATGAATGCGTGTGTCTATATCCCCAGCAAATAGAGTACTTAGCTCTCCTTGCTAGTAAGAGTACTGTGCTTGTGGACACACGTTTACCCATGTGTGCGTTCATCGTGCCCATGAGCACATGCAAGAGATCCCTATGTCCGTGGTGTGTGTGTGAGCTGGTTCTCCCACCGCTCCCATCAAGACCCGGTCCCCGCCCTCCTTGGCTCCTCTTACTCAGCGCCCTGGCTCCCCTGGCCCGCCTAGGCTCTGGAAGCCCCCTAGCAGGCGAATCTGCTCAGTCTGCATGGAGTGGCGTCTCACCAATTTGCGCTTGGTCCTGGGAGAGCCTGGCGCCCCGGCCTGGGGAGGGGCAGGCAGCGAGGGCGCCCGACCCCCGGGTTGGGGACGAATGTCGGGAATGGGAGGGTGGGGACTGACGTTGAGCGGGGGCAGGAAACCCGGTCGCGTTTGCGAAATGTGGTCCAGGAGCAAGGTCCCCGATCCCCTCCGCTCCAGCAGCCCAGGACTCCGCCTCCGTCCGCTTAGCGGAGACACGGCCCCCGGCAGACTCTCCTGGGACTGGCGCGGGGAGGGGGCCGAACCCGCCAGAGGGAGGGTCAACGGGGAAGCGCTGTATCGGCGGCGCTCCAGGGACAGGCGGCTGGACTCCGGCGAGTCGGGGCAAAGATGTCCGGGGGCGTCGAGCTCCACCGGCTCCATGCGGCTCAGTTTCTGCCTCAGCCCTGAAGCGGGACCAGACTCCTGAGCCTCTGGCGCTGTGTTTCGGCGAGAGAGGGGGCCCCCGCCAGTCACTCTTTCCGCCCATGGGGGCGGGTCCTCCGGGCCTTCAGTGCTGTGACGTCGGGAAAGACGGGGTCGACCCGTCAGGGTGAGGCCGTTGAATTCGGCGGTCAAGCGCTCGATCCCCGGCCTCCCTTCGGCGGGTGGGACCGGTTGAGGAGGGGCAACCAGGCCCCAGGGCTCGGAGTTAAGCCTTTTGAGTGGTTTTGGGGGGTGACGAGGTGGCTTGGGGAGCGGCTCAGAAGGGGAGGAGTCATCGGGGGGCTTCGGAAGAGGGAATTCAAATACGTCCCGCTTCTCCTCTTCCTCCTGGGCGCGAGGGGATAACAACCCCCGCCCTCCTCCTCCTGCGGTCTGCAGTTGGATTTCCGAAGGCGACGTGCAGACCCCCGGACTCAGAGGAGCGGGAGCAGGGTCCTCCACCCCTGGGGAGGGTGGGGAATTGAGATACTGCCGGGTCTTCTTGGTGCCCGAGGGCGATGTGTCAGTGGTGATGATGATGACCTCTGTACCCTTGGCCTTGCAGGCGTCCAGTAGTGTGGCAAGGGTCTCGCGGTCCCCGCGGTCCAGAGCGTGTACGAGTGCCGAGGCGCCCGCGTGATCTCGTACAGAGGGGTCTGCGCCGTGGGCAAGGAGCAGCGAGGCCACAGCGGCGCCCCCACCCCCGGCGCAAGCGTGCATCAGCGCCGTGCGCCCTAGGCGGTCTGCGATGTTGGGGTCCGCGCCTTGCTCCAGGAGGTAGCGTACCATGCGCGCCTTGTTCTGGGGGTCGTCGTAGCGCGCCCGACAGGCCGCCATTAGCGCAGTCTCCCCCTGAGCATCACCCTCATTCACGTAGGCGCCTCCCTCCAGAAGCAAACGGGCCAAGCGTAGCTTACCCTGACCCACGGCCCGAAGAAGAGCGTGGCCCTCGGTGTGCAGCATAGCTGCGGCTGGAACGAGGGCACCGCTGGAACCCGGACTGAGACCTGCCAAGGATGGCTAGGGATGTGGGGGTGGTGGTTGGCAGAGGCCTGAGATCTCAGTGGCGAAGCCGATCCCTACAAGAAAGAGAGAGAGGGACCTTATTGAGGAATTCGGCAGGGAAACTGAGGCACCGGTGCAGGCATCCGGCGCGGGGTCGGGGAGATCTTCACGGCGCACAAGCCTTCCTCTAACTCATGCCTTGAGCCGCCCCTTCCTCCCAGCGCATGCCTGAGGAGGTGGGAAGGGTGCACCCGCACTGAGGGACGAGCGCGCGTGCAAATGCGTTCGTGCACGCGCAGGGATATCCGCACCCCCACCCTCACCCCACGGCTTATCAGACCTTTCCAGCATCCCCCTTTTCTTATCTACACTTGGAATCCCCCTTTCTAGGATGCTGAACGCCACCCACCCACACACATGCACCCATACAGTCACACACATATTCCCATTCCTAACCTCTTTTAGGTTGCCACAGCCCCAAAAACTGAGTGGGGGGAGGGAAGCAGCTTGCGTTTGGGACCTAAAACGGGTGGAGGGAGAATTGGGGGTTTCTTTTGCCCCTGCTATGTTCCCCATTACTCCTTACTCTTTCCCCTCCCCGGCTGTGCGCCCAAATAGATACCTGAATATCCGCAGAAGATTCGCCTGGCCAGGATTGGGGCCGTGGCCAACGGGCAGCAGGGGTGGCGGAGCCGGGTTCCCGGGGGCCCACATGGCGTGAGGGGGGGCACCCGGATTCCCTTGGTGTCAGTA